ATTACATCATTTTTAGAGAGCAGAAGTCCAAATTCTGTTTCAATGGACAATGATATATGGATAACAGAGATTCACTGTTTCGGAGGTTTATTCGATGCCTTATACATTTGAGAGCTTACTTGGCATTCATTCCTATTTTTTTCTATCAACTCACCACTCCAGTCTTTTACTCCATCTATTGCACCCTTTTCCCTACTCTCACTCTTTGTCTCCTTCTTTCTCAGATCCTTGTTATGTGTGGAGCCTATCCTATGTAATGTAATGCTGTGTTGGGCTGTAAGTGCTCTGATGGTTCAATGTGTAAGCTCTGTTCTGTGATCTTTGGTCCATGTCAAAAAAAATCATATATGAGTGACTACATACCATGTACTCATTAATCTTTTATGACTGGGTTACCTCACTTAGGATGGTTTCTTCTAGTTCCATCCATTTGCCTGATAATTTAAAGATTCCATTGGTTTTTTTCCACAGAGTAGTACTCCATTATGTAAAAGTACCACATTTTCTCTATTCATTCTTAAGTTGAGGGGCGTCTAGGTTGCTTCCAGTTTCTGGCTATTACAAATAATGTTGCTATGAACATGGTTGCACATATGTCCTTACTGTATGAATGTGTGTTCTTTGGGTATATGCCCAAGAAAGGAATTGCTGGATCTTGAGGTAGACTGATTGCCATTTTCCTGAGAAACTACCATACTGATTTCCAAAGTGGTTGTACAAGTTTGCACTCCCACCAGCAATGGAAGAGTGTTTCTCTTTCTCCACATCCTCTCCAGTATAGATTGTCATTGGTCTTTTTGAGTTTAGCCATTATTATGGGAGTAAGATGGTATCTCAGAGTGGTTTACAGATACATTTCCCTATGGCTAAGGATGTTGAGCACTTTCTCAAGTGTCTTTCAGCCATTTTAGATTCCTCTGTTGACAATTCTCTATTTAGTTCTGCACTCCACTTTTTAATTCCATTGTTTGGTGTTTTGGTGGCTAGCTTCTTGAGTTCATTGTATATTTTGGTGATCAGCCCTCTGTCATATGTGGGGTTGGTGAAGTCAAGCTAACTAAATACTAGAACACCTTATGTCCTTACAGGTTTGATAGACTATAGTTAATCAGCATTTATCAGGAGTTACTGGGTAGTTTTCTGACACTACCCAGATTCCAGTGACCATATCTTTGATTGTATGAAATCAGAGTGCATGTGTGGACACATTATACTGGCTAAAGTATGGTGACTCCCAACAATAAAATTATTTTTGTTGCTATGTCATACTGTAGTTTTGCAATTGTTATGAACCATACAATAAAACCCAAATTTTAGGCTATCGTCTAAAGGGGTCATGACCCACAGGTTGAGAACTGCTGTTCTATACCCTGGCATCCTCCTCTTTCCTAGTGATCCTTCCACTAACTTGGCCAGTGGCTTTTACAAAACAATCAGGACCACAAGCACCTCCTCCACAGGAAGTGATTATAGAGAGTTTATGACTATGAGAAGGAAAAATGACAGGATGAGGTGAACTACTGTGTCATTTACATAGAGTTCTGAAGGAATGAAAAATGTCTAAAAGACAAATGGTTCTAATGGAGAACAGTGCAATATAGGAAAGTTGTGCCATGAGATTAGAATTGAATGGGTTGTGTTGGCTGAACATTGGGGTTTCTAGCTTCTTCTCTCTGGGAAATATAAAAGGCATACTACCTGGGCTTCAGCTGGTTATATGCAACAGGATGGGACCTATTATTCTGAAGCATATGTGTCTGGCATGCCTCAAGTTGATGTCCCTAAGCTCAGTCAAATATCTCCTGTTATCTCACAAAATGAGCGGATTTTCAACCCTGGCTGTGTGTTAGAATTTTCTGGAGTCATTAGATATTTCAGATGACAAAAGCCATATGACATCATTTAAATGAGCATGGATCTGAAATTTCTCTTAATACCCAAGGATATTCCAAGGAGCATCCAGGTGGAGAACAGTCAAACCCACCAAAACTTCATTGAAGGACTGGAGAGGAAAAGAGAAAACTTCAAGGTCACATATCCTCTGAGTAACACAGCTGACATTACTTAAATATTTTCTACAAGTCAGCTGTTTATCTAAGTGTTATATATGACTGCACTCCTTCAGTATTTTGTCTGAGTATATACTGTACTAGCAGGAAAAGGCTAACATATGAGACCCTTGTGGGAAGGGTTGTACTGGGCAAATATCAGAATGGGGTATTGGGACTATGCATATCCAAGAACATAGTCACAGTCCCCTCTCCTGTAAAGCAATGAACTAAGTGTGTACTGCAATAATTCTGAAATCACCATCTAGTGTGTGTTCATAACATTGACCAGTGAACATGGCAGTCATCATCACAAAAAGGGAAAATGAGCTCTTCAGAGAGATCAAGGTTTATCACTCATGGCCTACTGAATGCCAGTCCCTCAACAATACCCTGGGAATTCATTGCACCCCAGAAAATTGGGTGAAGTTATAAAGATGCTACAGAAGGGGAAACTGAGGTGTAAATTCAGTAAGTATCCAATATTGTACAACAATTATTCCACTTGGACTAGATGGTATACAGTTTAGCACATATTTCCACTAAAGCATTTGTGGTCAACACCATGCCATGGATGAGCACACTGAGGCTGAAACAGAGACTCTGTGCCCTTATATGTTGTGTCTAGAGGCCATTTCCTGTGCCATCACTTTTATTTACTCTGCCACTGACTCTCCTCTTCGTCTCTATGTATTTGAATTGAAGTATTCTAAACCAAAACTCTGTTCTAGATGGCTCCAGACAGGAGGCTCTTGTTATAGAGCGAAGAGGCTCCTGCAAACCCATCTTTCTCCTTCTCCCATGGACAAATCACAGTTTCATGACTGGGCACAGAGGGCAACTCCATCTGTGTTTGCTGTTCAGAAAATAAGTTGTAGTTAGTATAGCATGTATGATGTGTTATTCTATGAGTCAGAGTGATATAGTCAAATATTGATTCTTTCTCTCCTGCTGCCTTTATAAAACTTGGGGTCTTCATTTCTAAAGGGAACAAATGACCTCTCCCCTATAGCCCATGCTTAGGGAGAAAAATCCAATAACAGAGATGTCACACATAGCATAATGCTTCTTTCTTCACCTACTTCTACCTACTTGCTCATCAAGGGAATTGCGAGGGCAAAATACCTGTTAGGTGAAGCTTGTATCACTGGAAACTAGGGCTTGCATCTTACCTGAGCCACTTGATGATTCTGATTGATTGATAAGTATTGCATAACCTAGAATTTCAGTGAACAGATTTATGATATCTACAGAGTCAGAATGAAGCCTTTCTCAATGAGTCATTGTTGAGTGGTTGTGAGAAGACTTGCAATTACCACACCAGTGTGCGAAATGGCAATGTACTTATGAATTAATTAACACTCAAACCTATCAAGGATCTTCCGGATGGCATGTGCCTTATATTCAGGATGGCTGGTACATGAGTTTATCCACATTTACACTGCAATAGTACCCACAACAACAAGCAAATGGAAAATTGATAACCTGGATTGATTTAGAGTATCTCTACCTGTGGAAATATTAACCTTTAAGTATACACAGAGAATGATTCTGTTCCAATATGTGCTATGAATATAATTTTCATTGTGGTCACTTCCTTTTTTGTTATATTTTATTAACATTTTTTGTTTTTTAGACTGGGTTTCTCTTTGAAGGTTTGAAAACCAGGATGGCCTCGAACTCACAGAGATCCTCCTGCCTCTGCCTTACAAGTTATGAGACGAAAGGCATGTACCAGCAATGCCTGTCTTTGGGGTAACTTTCTTATCACTATTAAATACTGGCATCTATGTGAGCAACATCTTGAAGCATGGGGATATGATGATGAATCAAAATGCTGGCATCTAATTTCAGAAAATCCTATTTCTGGATCTCTTATGTACGTATCTCATATGGAGATATGATGTCTCTTAATTGGATAACAAGAAGCTAATGTGGATTATAGTGTGTGCCCCACAACAGACCCCAGAACATAGGGGATATGGGATTATGCACAGGGCACTGGCACACAAGAGTCATATCACAACTGGGCTGGAATGGATAATCTACATGATCTTCATTCTGGGAAAAACCTAGAAAAAAAAACTAGACAGATACAATGCAGCCCTATGTCAGGAAATTCAAAGTGAGTATCCTGTTGTCCCAGCTAGTGATTAGAGATTGTCTAGTTGAGCACACTCTCCAGGATACCTGCTTACATTTTTCAGAAACTTCAGTGACTCTCAGAGATTGTCCCTGACAGAAGACAATTCCAAACAGACACATGACAAAACCTAGCTTAGTACTCTCATCTATAAAAGGGCTGAGAGATTCAACAGTGAATGCAGGCATATCCTGAAAATTCTCAGTGTTCTGTGGATGAAGGACAAATTAAAAAAGCACACATAGCCATGCCCCTCTCATTTTCTGTGATGATGTGATTTCTTCTTGTGAGAGAAGAGAAACACATCTTGCATAAAGAGCTCCTGCTTTCCTGCTTTCTGACATCTCCAGTAGAACCTGGCACAACTATGCCCTAGGGCTTTGGGCAGAAAGATAAGACTTAGTCATGTGAAGAAGACCACTCTGGAGGTAGTAGGTGAGGTCTGACCCTGTTACTGTTCAAGACACACAGCATTTAGTGTCTTTATACACCCACCTTGCTAGGACAGATTGAAAAAGGTAAGAACTACTGGACAGGCAGACAGGATTTACCACCATTTACCAGAAGGGGAAAAATCTAGCAAATAGCATGTCCAAGCCCCTGCTTTCTTGGTTCACATTTGGGTAATGTTACCCCATGAATGAGAGAGTCACTTACAGACTTTCTTCTTCTTCCTAGTTGTTCACAGACACTTAGTCACATTTAGACCTGGTGGAGATATGAGGGAAGAGGAGGACAAAGCATTACTGACCACTCACATACAACACTGTGCCTCCCCCAGACTTAAAGACTTCATCAACTGCTGAATTTCAGAGCTTCACATAGTAGTAGGTACCATCATCGGTGTATGTGACATTACTGATGTGGATGGTAAAGTCCATGTTCTTCCTGTTTGAAGTATCTGTAACATTTGTGATTCTGGGGAATGGCTCTCCTGAGAACCTATACACAAGTTGTCGATGTTGTCCTGCATTCCTGTACCACACAATGGGTCCCACAGGGAGCAGGGAGTTCACAGCACAGGTTAGAGTGGCTGACCCTCCTTGAGAGACAGAAACTGATTTCTCAGGCTGAATCACCTTCAGCTCCTCCGGGCGTGCTTCTGTGGAAAACAACAGTTAATGCTCATCATAAAGGGAACCTGCCTGCATTCATGTGATCATGGTTGCCCTCACCTGGGTGTCTATAAAATATAGCAAAAATGAGGAAATGAATCACATAGATGCTGAGAACATGGCAGTATTCTGACTGAAGTCCCAATTCTGTTCGAAAAGCTCATGCTTCCTCTAGTATCTGATTTGTTTCATTTTCTGTATTTTAGATGTGATTACTTGACTCTGTTAGACTAGTAAGGTGTTAATTTAAAATTAAGTCCTTTTTATGGTTAGTTTGATGTACATTTGATTACAAGATTCTGAGAGTCATATCCCCGGGTCACCATAGGGTTGATTTACATATTGTAGTGATAATACCACAGATAGAACTCAATATATAGCAATGTACACCTTTATTAGAGAAATAAAGCCATAGTTTAAGTTGTCAGTTTTTAAAATATGTATTATAATCACAATCATTAATCAATTAATTGATTAGTTTTATGTGTATGGATGCTTTGCTTGTAGGTATATTTTTGCATCAAATGCATGCCTGGTGCTCAAGTAAGGCAGGAAGTTGTGTCAGATTTTCTCTTTCTGATGCTTCATATGGTAGTGACACACCATGTGCATTCTGGATACAAAATATTGGTTCTCTAGAAAAGTAAAATGTGCTCTTAAATCTTGAACCATATGTCCAGACCCAGCATTATACACTTCAAGAATGATGTAACATATTATTACAAAATCAGTCTTTTATCACAACAGATACATTTTATTTCATGTTTTGGAGATCAGAAGTTCTAATTTGCTGTGACAAAGCTTGTTGTCATATCACCCCACTCTACAAGAGGCAATAATAATGTGCAAATAATGTGGTCACTAGATGTCTTGTCCTTTGTTGCCTGTCTTCCCATAATTGTGCCCTATTTGCTCAGTAACTTGACTCCAACAATTATGACACTTCTTTCATCTCTTTTGCCAGGAATTTGGGGATCTGCTATGACAGAACTGTATTGCCTGTAATATTCTAAAAGAACAAGACTATGCAGCATTTATATGAAACATGAAAAGATCAAAAGTATGGAAAAGTACTAAGGAAAGTCAAGAGTCTGAATAACAAAATGAGAAAAGCAAATTGAGAGAAAGTGAGAAGGAACAGAATGGTGTTGAGTGTGGAAAAGTGTGGAAAAATACAAAAATTAGAAGTGCAATGGACAGGGTCTAGAGGGAATTTAGCAGATTCTAAAAAAATGATATAACATCTTGGAAATGGATTCAAAAGCATTACTCAGTCAGTACTGCAGTGCCGGGATACAATAAAGAGAATTTCATGAGATGGATAATAATATTACTGGAAAAAAATGCTGTCTCAACTTCCCAGATAAATCAAATAGAAGAACTATAAATCCAACACACTGACCCAATTTAATTTGTGATCATATCAGAGAGACCTACACCAGTACACACCATAATCCACCTGACAAATGTAGGGTAAACAGAAAATGCTGACAGCAGCATAGTGTGTGACTCATTTCAATACTCTATGAAGAATGTCAACATGCAGAAGAAAGTGTGCTGGTGACTGCCAAAAGAAAAAATACATTTGGGATTTAAATAAAACCAAGATTCTACATATGGAAGCACTATGTGTCCAACACTATGGAGTAAACATTCTCTTTCTAGTGAAAAATCTGAGGTTATTATATTGAAATGTGCCTTTCAGGAAATGTTAATGGGAAGTCTTGCATTGAAACAAAGAATGCCAAAGAAGAAGCTAGAGTTGTAAAAGACAATACAACTTTTGGCTATACAGTGAATTTTAAAATAATGTAATACAAGCTGAGCTCCCAACTTCCCTTTAGCTGTTGGACAATGATGTCTCTAATCATCCACCTAAGAGGTTCTTCTTAATAGACTTAGGGAAGGGAGGCCACAAACCAGGAGCTACTGGAAGCATGGGGTTGGGCTCAGACAGCAGTCACTGTTAAGTCTCAAACAAGTATATCTGATAAGGAATGTCAGTTTTCCTAGATACCTTAAGCCAAAAGACAAAAGGAACTTTGTCAAATTAAAACTTTGTATAATGAACTCGTAGTAGAACTAACAAGTATGTTGGTAGTTTAGAATACTGCCGATTGAAAAATGAAATTTGGGACAGATAAATGAAATTAATTTTACTATATAATCTTTCAAGTTCATTTAAAATTTGACATATGTATAGAAAATATAAAACCAATTTTGTCAAAGTTCTGTAATTTATTCCAACCATAAATTTATAGACTGACTTTTGGAACAAACATCCATGCACATTAAAAGGCCCTATTTAGCTTTATTACTAAGGTAACATAATTACAGAAATTGATAATTTAGCATCTCTTAAAATTTCATGAACATATTTAATATTGTATTTGAAATAAAAATTCTAGCACAAATTTTATTAAGCACTAGGACATATAATTTCAGACAGGCAGAAATCACAAACAATAAAAAGAATATATGTGGTTTTCTTTTTCAGTCGTCTTGCCTAAACTTGACACATTATGGTATCCATTCCTCTGGAATATTGCTTATTAGGATACATGTTATTACATAATGAATAAAAACCCCTAAGATTGCCTGCCTTCTCTTTGCACTTCTTAGAGTCTCCTGGCTTGGGGATTGCATACAGGTGAACTTGCCCTGGCAGACCAAGCCATTCCGCATCTGCCCAAATCTCCAGGATTGTCCTGGTTCCACCCAAAGGAAAAGGAGACCTATCAGAATATTGGATCTGCTTGCAACCACTGGAAAAGAATGTTGGTCCAATAGCCAACAAGAGAGGGAGAGAACCCCAACTGCCACCACTGGAAAAAGGAATGGGAAGACAACAATATAAGGACACAATCAATAATAAAAAGAGAAATAAAACACCACTAGAAAATAGTGGTGCTACACAAGCAAGACCTGAACATCCCAACACAGATGAGGCAGAAGAGAATGACCTTAAAAACGAATTCATGATGATGATAGAGACCTTCAAAGAGGAATGAGAAAATTCCTTAAAGAAATGGAAGTAAGCCAGGCGGTGATGAACACCCCTTTAATCCCAGCACTTGGGAGGCAGGTGGATCTCTGGGAGTTCGAGACCAGCCAGGTGTCCAAGGGCTAGTTCCAGGTAAGCCTCCAAAGCCACTGAGAAACCCTGTCTCGAAAAACCAAAAAAAAAAAAAGAAAGAAAGAAATGGAAGTAAAACACACAAAAATTCAACAAATGGAGGAAAAGACAAACCAAAAAATGCAAGAAGTAAATGTCTAAAGACAGCAAGGAAAGCCAAGAAAAAAACAATCAAATGAGTGAAGGAAACAATTTAAATAGTTCAAGTCTTGAAAGATGAAATAGAGACAATAATAAAAAAAAAACACACACATTCTGAGAAAATGCTGGAAACAGAAATTTGGGTAAATAATCAGGAACCATAAATGCATGCATAACCAGCAGAATACAAGAGATGGAAGAGAGAATCTCAGATGTTGAAAATACACTGTGAGTAATAGATTAATTGACCAAAGAAAATCTTAAGTCCAACAAATCCCTAACACAAAATAACAAGGAAATATTGGAGACCATGCAAAGGCCAAATCCAAGAATAACAGATATAGAAGAAGGGGAAGAAACACAAATCAAAGTTGCAGAAAACATATTCAAAAAAAATCACAGAAGAAAACGTTATCAACATAAAGAAAGACACCGCAATGAAAGTATAAGAAGCCTACCAAAAAATAGACTGGACCACAAAGAAGTCCACTCAACACATAATAATCAAAAAAAAAAAAAAAAAAAAAAAACCAAAAAAAAAAAAAAAAACAAGCAGACTAAAGAAAGAATACTAAGAGAAGCAAGGGAAAAGGGCCAAGTAACATATTAAGCAGACCCATAAGAATTACACCTGACTTCTTCTTGGAAACTCTGAAAGCCAGAAGGTATTGGATATATATTCTACCAACAATAAGAGACCAAAAATGCCAGCCCAGACTACTGTACCAAGTAAAACTTTCAATCACTATAGATGAAGAAAACAAAATATTCCATGAAAAAAACAGATTTAAACAATACAAATCCACAAATCCAGACCTACAGAAAGTTCTGGAAGTAAAATTCCAACCCTAGGAAGTTAACTACACTCACAAAAACATAGGCAGTAAGCAATCCCACTTTACCAAAAACCAAAAGAAAAACAAAGGGGGGAGGAATCCACATACAATACCATCATCACCAACAAATTCAAAACAAACAAGAACTAACAATCAATCGTCATTATTATCCATTAATATCAATGGTCTTAACTCACTTATAAAACAACACAGGATCACACAATATATAAGAAGACAGAATCCATCTTTCTGATGCTTACAAGAAACATACCGCAACTTCAAAAACATGTTAACTCAGAGTAAAGGGCTAGGAAAATATTGCCCAATCAAATGAACCCAAGAAACAAGCTGGTATAGCTATCCTTGTATCTAAATATAGGACTTAAAACTAAAATCACTCAAAAAAATGGAGACGGTCATTTCATATTCATTACAGCAAACATCCATCAAGAAAAAGTCTCAATTCTGAACATCTATTCACCCACATTCATATAAGAAACATCACTAAAAGTTAAGTCACACATAAAACCCCACATGTTTATAATGGGCAACTTCAACACCCCACCCTCACCACTAGGCAGGACAACCAGACAGAAACTTAACAAAGAAACAAAGGAAATAGCAGAAGCTATGACCCAATTGGTTTTAACAGACATCTATAGAACATTCCATACAAACACAAAAGAATATACCTTCTTTTTATTACCACATGAACCTTTTCTAAAATCCACCAATACGTGGCAATATAGAAAACCTCAGCACATACAAAAATTTGGAATTACTGCCTGTATCTTATCAGATCACCAAGGTTGAAAATTGGAATTCAACAACAATCCAAACTGCAGAAACCCAACAAACTAATGGAAATTGAACA